ATTTAGGATGGTTTATACGCAACATTTTATAAATGAGGCCCCAGGAGCCATGATTCTTCGAAAACAAAAAAAAAGATGAGGGGATGAATTAAAGCATATCTCAATTTGATTTGTTTTGGCTTATTTTATTTCATGTTTTGTTTTTTTGAGGACTTCTTGGAGGTTTGCTGAAGCCCTGTAGTGGGTTCCAGCCCCTGGTTAAAACCATTAGCCACTACCAGTACAGATAAAGGTAATTTCATGTAAAAATAAAAATGTGTACTTTTTTTTCTTGCTATGGTAGGCTGCAAGGGTTTTTGAAATAATTTGAAGTGATATGGAACTGCCTGCAGGTACTTGAGCTGTGAATGCTCTGAGAACATTAGAATGTCTGTAAAGCACTCCGAATCAAACACTCAACAACCCTTTGGTATAAATTATTGCATTTATTGGTAAATTCTTACAATGGCACAAGCTAACCAGAACAAAATCTTTGTTCTAGGAAGACTGAAAACCCATCTGCACGCAGTTTTAAAAACATTTGTATTATTGGTAATTTGTGCAACAAGAAGCATTCCAAGAAAAAAAAACACTTTGGCTTGGTAGTAACTTTGACACAGATGTCTTTGAAACAAAAAGTGATTCCATTACAGTAAATTTAAATCGGGTGATTTTTACATTCACTAAGACAAAAATAACATTACTAAGCCAAAGAATTTCATTCAGCAGTAGCCAATTCATTTTTTAGATGACATTTCTCCCAAAGCAGTGAGTATAATATTTTCCTCAATGGTTAGTGGTGAACAACCTCTTTTTATTACATTAATTGTCAATAATAAACACATGGGGATTCCTGCCAGTGAAAGCTCTAGACACACTGTGAAGCCCAAAAACAAACTGATCAGGGTGATGATGATGATGATGATGTGACCAAAACCAGCTGCTGTTTATCTATGATAAAGTCTCAAGATCCATCATGGATGCAGCTTTTCTCCGTTGTGATATCACACTCAGCTGAAACAGAAGTAGTAGTTTAGAGGGATTCTGTACAACAACAGTTGGGTTCCACAAGTTAAAAACCCCATGCAGCTTCTCTATTAGAGGAATTGATTTTTAACGATAATTTATAAACATTTAAAGATAGACCTACTGTGAGCTACAGGGTTATTAATCAATGGTACATGGCTGTCAGTCTGAAATATTTCAACTTATTTTTTTAAATAATCCTTTTGAACAGCAGAATTCCTGGTGAAAAACTACATCACCCATGATTATGCAAAAAAATTCATAGAATTGTAATTTATGCCAAAACGCATATACACTTCATGAGATTGTAGTTCTTTCCGTCCTTTAAACTGTAAAGTACACAGTCTTGTACCTTTGTGTTTTTGTCTACTTTTTAAACACTTTTTTAGTTTCAAATCAAAGTCTGTAATATTGTGATTGGCCTTGTAGCTGTTGGGTTTGGTTCATGGCTTATAACTCTAAAGTGAACACTTTAAAAATCCCAACAGGGAAAATCCTTCCAGAACCAAGGCTGCTAAAAAAGCGAGTGGCCGCTGTTGCATTCAATAGGTAGGAAGTGTGTAAATATCAAATATGGTGCGTATACCTGTTGTGATGCACTGGCCGCACGTTGCTCTGCCTGAGTAAGACGCCTCTGTAGACGCGTGTTCTTCTCCTGATGCTCTGAAACCTGCCTCTCATACTAGGGGTAAAAGTGATATAACATGACTCGCTGGAAACCCAACAGAAATTCAAACACTTCCAGCACACATCTAGTAAAAACAAAACTGCACGTCCACACCTCCAGTATCTTCTGATGATCAGCTTCCACCTGGATCTCCAGTTCCTGAGCGCGCTGTTTCTGTCTGTTCAGCTCTGACCTGCAACAATCATAGTCATTTTAATTGAACCTTCCTGATGCTGCGATCCAGACTTGACCTGCTTTATTCAATAAATTCACATTATGTGTAATCAATAAGCTTGTTATATGGTAATTATTGTCTCAATACAATGAAAATAAGCATGAGCAATAACATGTTTCAGCCATGATAGGGTGTTCTGGGTATCATTCACATCCATTTAACGGAGCAGGATGAGTTACACACCAAAGTTTAATACTTAGTGGTCTGTCCAGATCACTAACCCTAAATATGAGTAACAGTAATAGTGATTTTTGCCTTAGCAAACAATACTTCTGCGGGATCTGTGTGTGCAAAGTAAGCATTCACCTGAGGCTGTTGAGTTTCTGCTGGAAAGCCTGTGTGAGGTTCTTGGCCTCGTCTTTGTAGCGGCTGATGGTTTTCTGTTGAGCGAGCAGCAGTCTAGTCAAACCAGCGCTGGAGTTTTTACTGCTCTCCTCCATCTCTCTCAGCCTGGCCTCCAAACCCCGCTCCTTCACACACAGCTCCTGCTGCATCGAAGACACCTACACACGCAAACAAAACCCTGTGAAAGACGCCATATCCTACACTTCTGCCATTCTATTTTTCCCCCTGAAGTCCATTTATAAAGGTTCTTGCACTAAAATTTAGTTTTTTTTTCAGACTATTTGAGATGATCTCTGAACATTAGAACTGCACATGCTGTTCTTGTGCCTTAAAAGGTTAGTTCAGCCAAAAATTAAAAGTTCTGTTATTAATTTTTCACACTGAAGTCATTGAAAACCAGTAACACTTTTAATCTTGGAAGCACAAATTAAGATATTATGAAACCTGATATATTTCTGACCCTGAAAATCCATTCCATCAAATATGGTAAAAGGAAACTCAACCGTACTTACTTGACATGCGAGAGCAAACCTCATTTGTTCATGCAGATCAAGCAATCGTGTTTGAGCTTTTGTTTACCATATTTGATGTGCTCTATGTATGCACATTTATCAGTGTCTATATGGGAAGAAAAGCTTTAAATCTGTTCATCATATAAAGTAAACGTGTTTTTTAAGAACTCTGATTAAACTGCTCAATTCTTGTGGACTACTTTTATGATGTTTTTATGAGCTTTTTAAATCATGAAAGTTTTGGGGGAATGGACTTTCAGTGGAGCAACAGAAATCTCTCAAGTTTGATGAAAAATATCATTTGTGTTGATGATGACTTGTGTGCTTGGAATAAAAAAAAAAAGGCTGAATAACTGATGACAGATTTTTGGGTGAACTATTCCTTTTACAACTGTATGTAAAGGACCTCTGTTATGATTGGTTAACCTATGCATATCATTGTAGTTCACACTGTTGTTCATCAGGTTGGGCCAGGTTCCTGAATACTTATCTGTTAATTATATATAAATATGGGTGCTAATGTGCTCACAGTTGTGACGTTAATACGTCAGAAATCAATCTGGTTTTCTATGACACAACTTTTAAATATTGCTTAAAGGTATATAGTTCACCCAAAAATACTTTTTCTCTTATGTTGTTTCAAATATTACTTTCTTCTACGGAACAAAAAAGTTTCTCTTTTTCCCATACAATAGAAGTAATTGGGTCCAAAATCAATGGGGAACCCACTGTACGGACAATTAAATAAACAAACAAATAAATTAGATACATTAAATTTGTGCTGTCAAGCGATTAACCGCGATTAATCGCATCCAAAATAAAAGTTTTTGTTTA